CTCAAATTAGATCCATTAATACAACCATATGCGATCAGGAATGATTCTCATATGGCTCCCTAAATATCCTTTATATCATTATAATTTCTTCGGAATATTTATGATTTCCTTCCTAGGAGTCTCACTCAAGTCACTGTTAGAGACATTACGCCAAACAGGAAAGAATCGTGTGGAAAACTTCTGAAATGCAGACGCCTTATCTTTCGATATTTTTATTATTTGGCCTCTGATTCTTCCTTAGAGGAATAGCTGACCTATATAGTCACAGATGATTTCATATAAGATGAACAACATCTCCCTGCTTACCTGTCCTCTTAGATGATTTGAGGAAGAGGCTGAAGAATCCACACTTTGTGTAAAGGGGGAAAAAATAAGAGCACAAGGATTCCGTGATCAATTAGGGAGCAAATATTAAGACATACACGTGCACAATGCCAATGATGACTACTTTATGACACCAGTCCTCAACTTAAGTTGGAGGAAGGACCACGAAGAATTCTATGAGATGAACCAGACATCCTGTTTATGCGTAGGCCGCGCCAAATGATATTAAAAAACAGCAGTAACGGAGTTTGCCGGTACATGTTTCACACGCTCCAACGAACAAGTGTCCGATACCAAGCTTCTAATGTGCCACTATGCAGATCCTGTACTGAAGTGTACATCTCAATATATAGTCTCTTAAACGGCATGCTCTCTTACCACTTTCCTGTATAAAGACATGTTGATGACTCAACACATGTTCCCTGTGTGTCTTCCTCAAAGATGCATTACTTACTACGGTGAATTCGTATTTATCTGTTAAAGCTGGTTATCTAGCCCGTATATGTCTTTTCTATTTTCTCTGCAGGATGGCATAAATCAAACATATAGGATCCTGGTTTATTTGGACCATTAATTTCTCTTACGGCAACCGATTTCTTCAGTGTCAAGCACTTATTATTATAATGTGTATAAAGATCTCATAATAGGATATATCTCGCCTTTATATTATGTGGAAGATTTGAACAATGGATTCATGCATGAGCCAGGATCGACCGAGAAAAGTCGCCTAAGTATCTCCTCCCTCAGTGCAAAGGGAATCAACGGGGAATCATCTAGTGGGAGAGTTCTGAAAACTGTAGGAGTCACAAGTAAGTTTCTCTGGATGAAGGAAGATTGGGAGGGGGGGGGGTTCCGTATATATATACATATATCTAATATCTATAGGACTATCTGGGTACAGGAAATAACAGGGGAGACACTGAACTACTCATGTATCTGCAGCGGAAATATGTTTTTACCAGATTTGGCAACCAACTTACCTAAAATTCCTGTTCTTATGGGATAATCCTGTAGCATATTGTTGTTCATCTTATATATACATTATCAAATGCGCACAATTAATAATAGAGGATGAATCTCATTTTATCCCCGAAGAAGTATGGAGAGAAAAAGGAAAGAAGGACAGGGAAGCAACAACATATTGCAAATATATTATTATATTTGTAAATAATAATTTATTAAGAAAGGGGAAGTTTTAGTGGCTCACGAAGGTTCAGCCAATAATCCTGTTAAGTGAAAGGGATATTGCACTACCAATGAGAGACATGCCTCCGATGATTAGCGGGTGTAGTAAAATTGTTTACATAAAGCAGGAGTCTGCTAAACAGAGAGATATATATGCTTGTGTTGCACTCAGGGCAGAAATCTCGTATGATTATTTCGACAACTTATTTGCAGAAAATATAACTACCTTCTGTTGTTCTTTTCTTTCTTCTTTTTTTTGTAGAGGATTACAAATAGTATATCGCAGAATAAGGATGGGTTGGATTGATTTTCTTAAGCAATCAGTAAATTATCTCTCCTTCATGGCCTTAGGGAGTGTATTCGTACATTTAACTGCTCCATGGACTACCATATGCCTTGTTATTTTTAAGTAGGAAGATTCATCCCCCCCTTATATGACGAAGTAAACTTCAAAACATACACACGATTCTAAGTCCTAAGTGACGAATAATCGGTACACCAAACACAATAAAGGATAGAAGTATAAAGAATCAAAATAATAAAGACCAAAATAAAGGAAGAAACAGGAGGGTTATGATCCTGAACTCTATCAAACGGCAGCTACAAGTGGTTCCTAGATCCTAACGAAGTACCAAGATAAAGACAGAAATGCCCCCGAGTGCTACGACTCCCACACGACCCTACAACAGTCCTTCATACGGAATAGTAGCCGAAGCGTTGATCCTAAAATAAACAAACTAGAGAAAAGTCTGGACAGAGAGCATTAGGACGCAAGAAGAAATCTGAGGGGTAGAAACAGAGCCCACAGATGATAAATCCATAAAACTAGAGGTAGGCAAAAGCGAGCACTGGAAAATATAGAAACTGGACTATAAGGACTGACGAATAGGAGAAGGAACTGGAGACTCAAGCGTAAAAGAGAAGCGATTAAGAATAGAGGGTAAACCGTGACCGGGGGACGCTGAGTACCAGAAGGTAAAGGAGAAGGCCATTAACCCAGGCCAGAACGCATGGACCAGAAAATAAAGGGGATGAAAAGGGGGAACCAGACAATCCACCTTAAGGAAGCAGGACTGAGGCGTAATAAATGAACCCAGAATTTACACATATGATCAATAATGATTGAATCTAAACCATAAGCCGTGAACCCCCTAAAAATAAAACCTGAACCCTGAGACGTGAGGCTTGAACCATGAGGACGTGAGACTGACAGTTGAGACCTAAAGCTAAATGCTAAACCCTAAACCTGAAAATAAGCCTCCAGACTAAACCGAACCCCTCAAACATAGACGCTGGACCCTA